CTTTCTATGAACCTATAAAAGACAAACAGTAATATTTGTGTGTCTAGAAATTCGTTGCTTAGGAGCTGTTTAATGATGCAATCGGCAAAAGATTAAAGAGAATGGTTATGAGCACAAAATAAATGTCACATTTACAAAAGAATGGGAATTGGCAAATTCACGAAATTGAATAGGCAATCTAGCAGTCATGGCACAAACTATGATAAATTGTAATGGTATTGGTAAGGATTAATGTTTATAGGAATTTAATATTCTTTATATCTGGAGGGATTCTTCTTTGAACAGTGTGGGAAAATGGAAAAAAAATCTACACAATATATAATGCTCTTCATATCTAAAAAAGCATAGAACATGACTTTATAGTTGGAGTTCAGTTACAGAATGCCTTCAAAAGTTTAATCTAGATACTTCAGCATTATGCTGATACTACCTTACACCAAGACTGGCTCAATGGCTCATATTTTGCTTACATGTATGGACACGTACGGATCCTTACGTACTGTAGGAATTCACATAATGTATCCTCTGAATTATTTATTTCATTTATAAAATATTTTACCAGGAAGGATACATTAAGATTTCTCTCATTTTCAAGTATGAAATCTGCTTACCTTTTCTTACATTATAAGACTTAAATATCATTGCACACACATTAATTGCAGTGAAGCGGGCTGTAGTTAGAAAACTCATTATCGAAACATATCAAACAAATATCACCATATATGACTTATTGATCCATTCTTCACATAAGATGAAAATTACCAGGCATGTGGGGATTAGGAAAATACAGGGAACCTCACTACCTGTAATTGGATCCTGTATACTTTTCTAGTCAGATGACTATACTGCAATAACTAGTATAAAATAAATTAAATCCTCAGCCACCAAGGCCAGGCAATGTTTCGGCACTCTTGGTTCCTTTGTCAAGCCATACATGACATGGCATAATACAACAATATCTAAAGGTTATCCATCAATCAATAAATCAATTAATATACAGTGCTGTGCATCATATGTGCTAATACCTAAGTGGAAAACTTAGAAAAGGTAATTCATTGTGGATCAGTGTTCTCTATTCAATACAATGATATCATCTCCTAAATGTGAATAGGTGTTCGTGATTAAGTGAGATAATATCACTATCCCAAATATATAGGAGCGCGCGCATGCAGGCAAACACTCTCTCTAATAGAGCACTCCAAAGGATTTTTTCATAAGTATATAGTTATAATCAACGGTTTATTATTGATTACAATAATAAACTTGTGAAAAAATCCCTTGGAGTGCTCGTTCATTTATCTTATGCATTTTTGCACTAAGAAGCAAGTAGATATCTTTGGATAAGCTTTGTTGTTGTTATGGTAAGTGCCAGAAATCTTTCCATTTTTTTTAAATAAAAAAATGTCGCAGAATAATATGCAGAGTTTAGGTACAATGTAACATTTAACAATATCTAGTGTATCTATACCTGATGGGAATATCACACCAATCTCTATCTCCAACATATATAATTCACCCATAATGTGATATAGACTGTGTATCCACTTAACTGATTTATTAATTGATGGATACACTATATATATATTGTTGTATGATGCACTATCCTTTATGGCTTGACAAAGGCACCAAGAGTGCCGAAACGATGCCTGACCTTGGTGGTTGAATAGACTACCATTGATCTTTATGCTGTGTGCTGAGGATTTCCTTTCCATAATACGTTATTGTTTGGTGAACTGGAACCTTACCTAGGACACATGCACCTAAATATAGGCTTCGATCGGAGTGCTCCCTACCATTTATTTATTGGATACTTCAATGACTAATAACCCTTGCATAGTGTTACAGAGGAGCTTCATGTAAACATGATGCCTTGCACACTATAATACATCCAATCCCCATCCAGTCCCAATTTTTTATTACTGCACCGTTCATTGTTATTTTAAAAGTTCATACATTTTGAAAATGTATTTTCTTAGCTACTCTACTGATTGAAAAAGAAACCGCAAAGGACTAAATGGTTTAAGCCCCTCCATTTAATATCTACTCAACAAACCTTGGAGTGTGGGGACAAGGGGGAGTGTGCAGGTAAACCTCTTTATCCAGAGAACCAAGCTCATTCGTTTTTTTTTTGTTTTTTTTTCCTGATGATTGAGTGTGACTCTCTACTGATGATCCTGCTTTTTTTTTTTTTCTTTTTACTCTGCACTAAATTTAAAATCCAGTTTATGGGTAATGTGCTAGGGGCTGAGACTAAATGTTACCATAGTTCACAGACAAATAGTCACTTACATTACAGTGTGTAAAGGGAAACAAAAAAAAAACAGTGAAGGTGCGTTATCAAATCAACAATAACAGAAGCAATTACTTATACAGTTCTGCTTTTAGGAGAACATTTTTGGAGTATTAGTTTAAAGTACCACTCTAGCTTTAGGAATGCAAACGTGTATTCCTAAAACTTGAGTTTTAATATACCTAGTTATTATCCACTCCCCCTCCCCCTGTCCGCTAAGTAAGTAGGCTTTCCCTTAGAGAGCTGATCTCGCTGTGCACAGTCTACTGGCTGAGATCCTCAATACAGAGCTAATCCAATGGCGAAGCATTCAGAGGATTGTGCGCATGCACGGTAAATCACTGCACTGCACCAATCAACATTTACTCATAGAAATATATTAACAGGGAGCATTCAGCCATCTCCAGGCAGAGGGTGGTGACCATGAATGTCAATGCTGCAATCTTTTCAGGACTTTGTTTCAGGAAGTCCCTCTAGTTGCTGTCTATGGGACAGTCACTGAGGTGGTCCTAGACCTCAATGTAAACACTGCCAAATCTCAGATAAGGCAGCGTTTACACTGCTGAACCTGCTCTTTGCTTCATAACCACTACATTAAGTTTACAATTTCTACAAACCAAAAAACTAATTGGGGATAGTAGACTATCTTGAACAAATCTGTTTTTTTTTTTTTTATATCAGTAATAGTTACGGAGTTAAGACTGTAGATTCCTGAAACATCCCAGCTGTTTTATTAACATTATGTTTTCACAGACTGAGATGTTGTTTGTCTGACCGAATATGTTTCTTCCATTTTTCAGTTCAACCTTTTTTCCAAAGAGCACTTCCCCTAGGCATAACGGTGATTAAAAACGAACAGTTACCATGGCAATTCCAATAAATTTCAGGAGAATAAAAATGTGGCTAAACTACTTGTAATGGAATCTGTTTGTATATCTCTTACTCAATGTTAATATGTTGATAATATTATGTATGACAAACTGATTTAAATTTAACAGCTACAAACATCCTCTGTCTTCGTGAAAAGCTCTGCAGGGCAATTTCCACATAGAAACTTGCAAAATGTTTACACTGGGCTTGACACAAAAAGATAAAATATATTTTATAGAAAATCAAATGGAAAAAAAAGACCCCAAAACAAATAAAATCTCTTACTGAAAGCTATAGTACCAAACAATAACACGTACTGATGAATAAAACAAATGTATGAACTTATTTCAATGTTTTATTTGTACTTCATCAAAATTAGGCTGTAATTGAGCTGTAAAATACTGTTAACTACAATTTAACTACATTTCCTATCATTGGTATCTCTATACTGGCCATATGTTGTCGTCATAACACCTATTTGATTAATAACCCCTTAAGGACACATGCCGGCCTTTTACTACTGAAGCTGTGTCCTTACGGTGATTCTAATAATTGTATTAAGAATGTTATTTACATGTAGCTCAAGAGTTTGATATATGTTGAAAGAACGTGTATCTTACACTTTTATACTTCTATTTTCATCCCATTAAAATTTTTCAACAACCCCTTAGATGAACAGGTAGAAGGTGTTTTATTAATGAGATGTTTTTTGTGTGTTTGTTTATTTTATTATATTTTAATTATTATTATCTGTCATGGCTACTGGATATTAGATGTCATCTTCCCAATAACATAGCCTGAACCACTGTTTTCGTACTATAAACTTTCAGATTTACTTGGATATTATTAGTCAGCCGACAAACAGAGAGACACAGACCAGGAACGTCAGAAAGAGACAAGCTAAGCTCATTTGGTTACTTACTTATTTTTGAGTAATTACCTCTATGCATTGGTATTGCAAAAACACATTTTTAAAAATATTTATTTTACTTGTTTTAACTACAATAGACATCTTTGTGTCAACAAATTTGTGTTATAAAAATGTTTACAGAAACCTCAATATCTTAGCTCAGTTCAGACCAAAAACTGATATCGAGAGCACATTAAGGCACGTGTAAACATTTTGTACATTCTTGTTCCTTAGTCTTCTAACTTAGAACACTAAAAGAGTCCTAATGTCAAGCTCAAGATCACTGAAGGTTCCACTTTTAGGGTGAATTTATAAATGAAAGTGTTCAAGTATCAGTTCTAAATTTCTTTTAAGGAGGTCCAAGGTAAATATAATTTGAATGCAGACCTTTTCAGGTTTCAGACTTTTCGTATGTATGTTTCATTTCCACTCACTTTTGGGTTGAATATCTCTAGTTGGGGACAGGTAGTCCTCTATAGAACCAATCTGCTGTACAACATTTTAGTTTGAGATTCAGCTGGTTACAGAGTAAGGGCTAGTAGAAAAATGAGGAAAAGCTTATTTTTTTCATGCTTTTAAAGAAATACACAGATATAATAGAAGCATAACAAATAGGAATGAAAGATAGACAAAGGGGGCGTGGTTTGGGCTCTGACCAAGATGACCGCATAAACCGAGGGCTCCGTTCCACCAGACCCCTATATAGCGACTGTAAATTAGCATATTGCCCCAAATGGGTCGTAACAAATGCCCTGAACCTCCACAAACACCAAGAGGCAAGCAAGAGGGCCCCCTAGACGGCTTCCTACATTCCCAACCCGGTGCGAGCGGAGAATCTGGAAGCCCCAAGATGGTGCCGACACCCCTGGGGGCCCAGATACCACCGCATTGGAAAGGATAGGGGAAGAACTTCGAGGCCTGGCAGCCTCTATGGCTACCAAAGCGGACCTACAACAACTCACCTCCACCATCCAGGACACGCTAAAGGCGGAGATGGCAGGGATCCGCTCTGAAGTCGCCTCACAGGCGAATCGCATCACCATGCTGGAGCAGGTGGCGGAGACCCAAACCAGTAGACTCAATGCTGCAGACACAGCGGTGGCTCGGCAGGGAGACATAGTCTTGGCCATGAGGAGGCATCTTGAGGACCTCGACAACAGGGGGCGCCGATGCAACATTCGCAAATTGATCCTGCAACTGGCGAGCCCTCAAAGATTTGAATTCGAGAGGGCACACAGGATCCTGAGACGGCGCAATCTGGAAGAAGGCCCAAGGGATCTGATCTGCTGCCTGCACTCATTCAGAGTGAAGGACGCCATCATGAAGAAGGCCCGTGAGAGGCCCATGTGGCCTTACAGAGGGGCCCAGATATCACTCCTCAATGACCTGTCCCCTCTAACTCTAGATGCACAAAGAGCACTACGCCCGGTAACGACGGCCCTGAGAGACCGCGGCATCACCTACAAATGGTGCTTCCCACCGGCCCTCCTGGCCAGGCACAACAACGCCTGGATCGCTCTGTGCTAGACTGAAGAAGTACCTGGATTCATGGAGGAGCTGGGACTTACGCCGGTACAGGTCACTCATCGGATCCTGGGACCAATAGGACCACCACCCAGGCCTCAGGGAGCATTTAGAAGACGCGAGGCAAGATCCCCACCAAGCCACCAGAACAGACGCCGAAGAAACCCAGCCTCTTCAGAAGAGTAAATACCCTCACCTGCTCTCGACTGCCGTGTCCTGGCACTGCTCACAGGGACACTGACATACCACACCAACCCCCAGTTGCAAGCCGCATAGACACTCACACTACCACAGGACTGCACTTCGAGACCCTTGGCTGCCCCCCCCTTGTCACGAACATGCCATAAGCGGGAACCACGCGGAGGAACCCAGGCACTGCCGGAAGCAGGCACGAAAGAGACTTGGGGTGGGGGGACATGTGTATGGGGGTGGGGACGGGAGAACTGGGCAAGCTCCCTCCACTAAATGCAGCATCACCAGACCGCACACACGCCTGGGGACATTGACTGTCACCCTCCAGTGCCTGCCTCACTTACCGCGGCTGACTCCCGCGGATTGACTGCCATGGACACACAAGTATAAAGTCTACCCGAAATCGGAGGGGCAGGTAAGGGCCTGGGTAACGTGTTGGACACCAGCCCCCCGACCTCTGGGACTGTGGTATACAAGGGGGCCACCCTGGACCCGGGGGATGAGCAGGAATGACACCATGACACGGTCATACACATGACCCCCTTCAAGTTGGCGTTCGATTTGCTTCCATACCAGGGACCATCCCCACCTGCTGGTCGAATTACTAATGAGACTGCCTGAATGTATTATGTCTAAACTGCAACACTACTGCATACATGTGAAAAATGTGATAACACTACCTACATCTCTGTCACTACCCAGATTTCAGGAGGGTCGAGGTGGGAGGAGGGCGGGGGGGGAAACGATATCTACTCCTAGGAAGTGTGGGGTAACGAGTAAAAACGGGGACAGACAGGGATGGCGAGGGTCCAAGGCAACCTCATAAGACAACCCCACCAAGACTATAGACCGGGAAAGGGTGATTGAACATAGTACAGGAAGGGTCAAGCTCATGAGACAAAACTGTTATCGCGTAACATACAGGAACAGACCTATGTGGGAAGGGAATGTACTCCACTGGACCTAAAAGGCACACAACTCCCTGTCGCCTGACATAAACACGCAATGACGGTAGGTCACTACACTCATGGCAGAAACATCACATTATAAAGTAGAGACTGCTGATGGAGAGCTGGAAGAGTAGGGAGAGAGGACATAGAATGGGACCTACCTAGGAAAGGACAGGGCTAACTGGGGGAGATAATTAACATGGCTAAAGCGGGCCTCTGAACACACGAAATAAGACAGGGACGGGCGAGGATGGGGGAGGAAAATGTGAAATGGATCTGATTGATGTATCCGGGACGTGAAGGGGGGAACAGAAGGGGAGCTCTTGGGAATGTTAGTTTCAGTTTTGTTTTTATATCTTCACAATGTTATGACCTTTAATATGTACATAAAAATAGGAATGACAAATGCTGCAATTTGCAAAACGCCTCAAATGGGGCGAGGTGGAGCGGGCCGACTCGAATCTCTCTTGCTGTCTTTTCCTTGGGTGGAGCCGGGGCCAGGGCCGTCTTTAATATTGACCGGACACTGGGCAACCATTTGCTTGGGGCACCTGGACTCTGCCCCCTGCCAGACATACTAACACACATACACAGAGACATACACTGACAGACATACTGACACACACGCTGACACACACACTGACAGACACATATTGACAGACATACTGACACACACACAGAAACATACACTACAGACATACTGACATATGCAGACACATATACTGACACACATACAGAAAGACATACAATGACAGACATACTGACACACATACAGACACATACAATAACAGACATACTGGCATACACAGACACATACAATAACAGACATACTGACATACACAGACAGACATACTGACACAAGCACAGACACATACACTAACAGACATACTGACATAAACATACACTGACAGACATACTGACATACATACACTGACAGACATACTGACACAAACACAGACACAGACAGACATACTGACATAAATTTACACTTTTAAACCCACCCACAAGTTTCCTACCTTGGAAAGTGGTTCCCCAGGTGTCCAGACTGAAGGCTGTTGGGATCTGCCTCTCCTGGCAAGGGTCCCTCCTTCGTCTCCCGCGCGGCTCCTCTCCTTAGTGGGAGGAAGTGACTCACAGCCGTCACTTCCTCCCAGCGCTGCCGAAAAGCAAAGGGCCCGGTCGCGCTGTTAAAGTGTTACAGTGTGTGACCGGGCCCCTGCTTACAATACCCACCCGATGGCCTGCTTAATGTGGGGGCCGGCGGCCCCATGGGAGAAACAATTGTTGAGGGCAGCGGGGCCCACGGGGAAGCTGCCTTGGGCCCCCCAAGAGTAACTGGGCCCGGGGCAGCTGCCCCGTTTGCCCCGCGTTAAAGACGGCCCTGGCCGGGGCTGCGCTACCCCGACATACAATCGTGCTAATCTTTTCGCTGCTAGACCGTGGGGACCATCGCTCTTCAGGCTGGTTACCGGGGTGAGGTCCTAACGACTCTGATTGCTGCACGAGCACACCTTGACAGAGGGGACCTGATACGGGATTCCATTAATCCCGGGAGGGATCTTCGCCCTTGAGGCGCACTCCCCACCTACACATACATAGACCACACGACTCACACTCGCACCCTCACTAACCTCACCTACCAACCTCTGCACCCACACACCCCTCTTCCCCTTCACTTATCTTTGTTTGTCGAACTGTGTGGGGCGCGTGGCCCGTGGGTGCCTCCCACGGAATCGGGGGACCCCGAGAACTTGAGACCGCATCTCTGATACAGAAGGGATGACGGCCCATAAGGGGGGGATGGCATACCGCAAAGCGCCATTGTCTGTCCTCACTCTCAACTGCAGAGGCCTGAATATTCCAGAACGCAGAACACATCTGCTGAGGGAACTGAAGAAAAAGCAAATTTCGATTGCTATGCTTCAGGAAACACATTTTAAAGAAGGAGCAGCGCCCCGTCTGCGCGACAGGTCCTACCCGACCAACTATCTTTGCAACCACCCCTCAGCCCGCAAATCTGGAGTAGCAATCGTAATGGCGAATTCCAAGAACTGGAACGAGTCCAAGACACACATGGATGCTTCCTCTTCCTGAAGGGAATCATAGTGGACAAGATACACACAGTCGCGACGATCTATGTCACCAATAGGCGCCAAGCCTCATTTCTCAAAGGTGCGTTGGCTAAACTTTAGCAGTAGTGATGTCCCGAACGGTTCGCCACGAACGGTTCGCCACGGACTCATCATTGAGTAAACTTTGACCTTGTACCTCACAGTCAGCAGACACATTCCAGCGAATCAGCAGCAGACCCTCCCTCCCAGATCCTCCCACCTCCTGGACAGCATCCATTTTACATTCATTGTGAAGCTGCATTCTTAGTGAGCTGTCCAGGAGGTGGGAAGGTCTGGGAGGGAGGGTCTGCTGCTGATTGGCTAGAATGTGTCTGCTGACTGTGAGGTACAGGGTCAAAGTTTACTCAATGATGAGTCCGCAGCAAACCGTTCGTGGCGAACCGTTCGGGACATCACTATTCAGCAGTTTGCGGAAGGTGTGCTAATAGTGGGGGTTGACTTTAATACACCCCTAGACCCGACGTTGGACTCCTGTTTGGGACATAGCTGCATACCCCAGCGATGCATCAGATCCATCCGACACTCATTGTACGACTTGGGCCTAGGTGATTGCTGGAGGACCCTTAATCCCTCCAGAAAAGACTATACGCACTACTCCGCCCTTCATAAATCGGTACGCATGAATCGACTATCCCTTCACCAGGCAAGAGGGCCTCTCATGTTTATTAAAGGCTACTATTGAGCCAGCCACGTGGTCAGATCATGGCCCAGTCAGAATAGACCTGAAATCTTCACTGTTTCGACCCTCCACTTGGACCTGGAGGCTAAACGAAGCACTGCTCTTGGACCCGGTAACGCGAGAACAAATAGACAAGGCACTAGACCACTATTTCCAAGAAAATGACCAGGAGGAAACATCACCTGTCACCATCTGGGAGGCACACACGAGTGTAATTCAGGGAACACTCATTCGAATTGCTTCGCAGAAAAGAAAGGAAAGCACTCGGAAGATGGCGGAGCTACATAAATCCATCTCGACTCTAGAACAACAACACAAGCGATCCCTCCTCAATGCAATATATGGCGAACTTATGGAGGCCAGAAGAGCACTAAAAGATCTTATAATGAAAAAACACCTCTGCACGTTACAACACTCAAAGGGTTTCTTTTATGCCCACGCTAATAAAGGGGGCAAATACCTGGCACGGCTCCTGAAAGGCAACGTGTCTCACATCCAGATACGTAAATTACGTCTTGCATCAGGCACCAGCTCCCAGCTCCCAATTCCCACAGGAGATAGCAGAGGAATTCAAGAACTTTTACCAGGCCCTCTACAACCTCCCCGCACCAGGTAGACAAGACCAAAACCCGTTCGAAAACCAGACTATGAACAACTACCTACACACATACATTACGGAGGTAGTTGACCGGGATTCAGCATCGGCCCTGGATGCACCTATCGGCACGGAGGATCTAGCAGCGGCACTAAAAAGTGACAAAACTGGCAAAGCTCCAAGTCCAGATGGCTTCTCCACGGGCTGTTATAAGAAATTCACAGGAAGGCTTCTGCCATGGCTCACAAAAGCTTTAAACGCTGTGGCAGGAGAGGCAGATCCCAACAGCCTTCAGTCTGGACACCTGGGGAACCACCTTCCAAGGTAGGAAACTTGTGGGTGGGTTTAAAAGTGTAAATTTATGTCAAACTTTGGCCCGGAATCCCTGTCCGCGACCATAACAGTACTTCTCAAACCAGGAAAGGACTCAATGAACTGCGGCAGCTACCGCCCAA